TCCATCCATCCATCCATCCATCCATCCATCCATCCATCCATCCATCCATCCATCCATCCATCCATCCATCCATCCATCCATCCATCCATTTTCTTTTTCCATTTTTGCCAGTCTTCAGCAGTAACTATAAGAAAAGCAGGGCATATCCTGACCAAAATGCAAACCCATCACAGGGACACATAAAAACTAATTAGACAAACAACTTTCATGTTTTTGGCCTATGGGATAGAGCCTGGAAAAAACATTGTGTGTGCACAAGGTGAACATAACAACTTAACACAGAAAGGCCCCAGACCAAGAAGTGAACATGCAATGTTGTTGCTATAAGGTGACAGCGCTAATCAGCTGAACATATACAGTATAATGAGTGTTACTCACATTGGAGGTGATGTTGGCTCGGACCTCTCTCAGGACATGTTGGCGGTACATCAGTTGAACTCGAATGGGCACTAAAATGGGCTCTAAACAGAGAAACATACCTATGATCCCTGCTCAGTCATATTGTTTTCGTACGGTTTATTAAATTTTTTTTTCAGTGATTTTTGGTCAACCGTAGCACAAAAACGGCTGCACCGATCAACATGAAATTTGGCAGGACTGTAGATGAGTCCGACCTACACTGCGCCAGCCAACGGTTTGACGATACACACCCATATTTGAGGAAGGGGCTTCATCCAAAGAGGGGGTGTCTGGACATGCAAAAATGCTCATAACTCAGAAACTGATCAACATAGGAACATCAGATTTCTTTTGTTGTTCAGCTCTGATGAAGCTGTAACCATCAGGCCCACCTATCAGTGTCCACCACCCCCGCCACCCCCGGACCCCCAATTTATCTGAAAAGGGGTATCTGGACACACAAAAATGGTTATAGCTCAAAAACTATTAAACATAAGAGCTTAAAGAGTAACTTACCCCAAAATTAACTTTTTTTAGCTGAGAAACTGTCTAGAATGTGTCTAAAATGTTATATAGTACTGTTTCTGTGCTAATTTTGATGTTTTTGTGCGTATTTGTTCAAATCTGTAATATTTGGTCTAAAAATGTCTTTTTGCTGCTCATATGAGCAGTGGTACTGCAGGCTAATTTGCATATTGGTTAACGGCTCTCCACGGTGACGTGTCTTCTCCACGGTTTCGTCACAGCGGCTGTGTTCTGGTATAAAAGCCTCTCTCTAAGACACGCCCCTGCAGCAGTCAGAGGGTGGAACAGTTAGCAAGCTTAGCATGATCGTCTGTTGACCTTCAGCCTCGGGTGGAGAGAGCTGACTGCTGCGCTGCTGTCAGGCTGTCGGAGCACTCCTCCTCCTCTGTCCGAGGCTGGTGTGGGGTGAAAATCCTCCACCTCAGACGTTCAGAGATGTAACTATCTGCGATACTGTGGTCACTCTCCATGTAGCATCAATTATGCTAATGCTAGCTGCCTGTCACGTTCTCTCATCCTGGCCACACCTTTGATGCATTTTTCAAATTTCGCCTTGGGGCGGAGTTATCTTTTCACAGGGGGGGTAAGATATACTTTAAGAATAGCTTATTTAACACCCCAGTGTTTCACTTGATCGATCTCTAAATGCCATCAACATCGACCAAATAACAACTCAAAATAATTTTTTTGTATCTTTTTTTTTAACTGATTTCTATGTTTACATTGCTTCAGTTCAACATTTGACTCATTCCATAAATCCACGTGCAGCAGGAGGGAGGAAATGATCCCGCGTCACGACTTAACTTTTCTTCAGTG